CATATAAATTAACTTGGATTAGTTTAACTTTCCAGAAACAACAACCATTGCCACGAATAGACAACAAGGGCCTTGCCTGAATGATTTTAAAATCACAAAATTCACTCTCATCGTACTCTGCCATCCTTCCTTCTACCCCTCTGCCATCCTGTTGAGCTCATCAAACATGCTAATCATCACCAGCCTCTCTTCCCTATTCTCAGCAAGTTAGCACTGGCTTCATTGCTATCACTCAACTACAGTAGGAACAATTTAAAGACACTCGGCATTTTCTGTTGCCTCTCCCCTCTTCTTTGCTCAGCCCACACAAGACTAGCTCTGGACTGATGCAGCTCTGCTCTCTCAGTGTGGCCTTCCTCCTCCAGAACTAATCACTTAACTTCTGTTCCTGATCCCTGATTTTCTTCCCTCGACTACCTCTGCCGTCAGTTATTCTTCTGAGTTATTAAATTCAAAAATCCATTTTTCACTGCTTATCCTATTTGACTACTCTGCAACATTTGACACCACTGTTTTCCTTAAGTTCTATTTAGAAGATAACTTTTTCTGTTGTGTGCAACTAATTCATTATCTAACATTTAGAAAATAGAAACAGCAATTTAAAAATTCCCATAGGCAGTATTCTTTCACAATGTGTACATATATCAAATCACCACATTGCACATTTTAACTATGTTACAGTTTTGTCAATTATACCTTAATAAAGCTTAGGGGTAGAGGGAAGTATCGCTGGTTGAATATCACCAGTTATCACCTCTGGCAAGAGGTGAGCCGGAATGGAGGAATGAATAGGTGGAGCACAGAAGAATTTTAGGGCAATGAAATTACTCTGTATGATACTCTGATATCGAATATGTGTCATTATAGAGTTGTCAAAACCCAAAGAATGTACATCATCAAGAGTGAACCTTAATGTAACTAGAGACTCTGGGTAATAATGATATATCAGTGTGGGTTCATCAGTTATAACAAATGTACCACTTTGATGTTGGTAGTGAGGGATGTATGTGCCTGTGTAGGGGAAAGGAGTATATGGGAACTCTCTGTATTTGCACTCATTTTGCTGTAAACCTAAAATTGTTCTTAAAAATAAAGTCTATTTAAAAAGTAAATAAACAAATAAAAACTCCCCTAGTCAAATATTCAGAGGGAACTATTGTGGTCATAATTTTTCGAGGATTTTCTAAAGTATATAATAGGTATTTATATACCCACAGACACCCACACTGTTATCATTTAATATATTAAAATTTTGTATGTTAATAAATATTCTTCCATAGCATGATTTTAATGAGGTGGATAATAGTCCATTGTTTGGATATGCTATTTACTTAACTAACTCCCTTTAGTCTAATATTCAGATTATTTCTAACATATCATTATTATAAATAATGCTGCAGTTCATACTTTTATATGTAAATTTTTTATATGTGAATAGCTAGGATAATTACCATAGCATAAATTCCTAGACATGAAAGTGATAAGTCAAAGAGTATGTAGACACGTTAGACTCTGGATACACATCAATAAATCTGTCTCCAGAAGAATTGTAGGAATGTGTTCACACATGAGAAATGCTATAAAGCTTTGACGTTAGGAGTTTGAGCTTTGGAGTTCTTTTCCATTTCTGTCACTGACCCCACCTTCTTCTTCCTGTCCTAAATACTGTGTCCCCTCAGGTTCGGTTTTTCATCCCTTCTGTCTTTTTCTTGGACAAGTTCTCCCTTGGTGGTTTTACCCACTTAGTTAACAGCAGAGGCCGATGACTCCAAGATTAGTATCTCTAGCTCCTCTATCTCTCCAGTTGCCATTGGAATTGTAATGAGTGTCAACCTGGACTCGGTATCATTTCCCTCAAACTTCCTGTGTTCCCACTACCCTTACTCAAACCAGAAACCTCAGTGTTATCCTCCATGGGGATGGGAGAACACATACTCCCACCTTCCCAGAATATAAAAAATTATTTGGGGAAACTACAATAATTTTGTAAAAAAAAAAAAAAATCTTTTATTTCACTGGCAAACAGCCTAAGCTTTGTTTTTCTCACTAACAGCTTCTCAAGGCATCTCTTTCCTTTTTTCTCTCAGTCACTACCT